TATTCTACTCGAAAGATATATCTCTGCATGGGGAAATTAATTATGCTTAAACTAAATACAGCAGCACCTGTGCAATAGTAAATTTTAAAATTATATGGACATGGAAAATCTATGGCCACATACACACTTTCGTGTCATCTGTACATGAGTTTTGAAGATATTTTGTAAAAGTGTAAGGACATGGACAACAAGCAGCCATCAGAGCAGCTGATGAAACATCGAATTGGTTCGAGGTGCAAAAGAGAGTGAGGTAGGGGTACATACCCTCACCATACCTATTCACTATATACGCAGAAAACATACTGAGAAAAGTCAAAATGAACAGACTTGTGACAGTTATGATCCGCTCAAAATTGGTGGCAACCCTGTTCCGGAACTTATCTACGCAGATGACATAGTCCACCTTTCGAACATCGTAAAGGGAATTGAAAATTGAATATTGTTTGTCCAAAAGCACAGTAAAGATCAACAACTGGTATTGAATTTAAAGAAAATGATAAAACCTGCTGTCACTCAAAAATAACAATAAATTATGAAGAAACAGAAAATGTCACAAACTTTGAATATCTAGGCTCTAAATAAACAGCAATGGAGACTGTTTGACAGAAATTAACAGGGTGATGGCCATAGAATTGCGAAGATTAAACAGCCTTAAAATTCTTTGGCTAAGCAACATCAAGGAGTTCAAAATTAAAATTTTGAGAGCATACATCTTCCCTGTAGCAACATACGGATGTGAGTCAAGGAAGATTGGCTAATAAACAGCATCCTGTCTCGGAAGAATTGCTAATAAACAGCATCCTGTCTCGGAAGATTGGCTAATAAACAGCATCCTGTCTCGGAAGCTGAAATATTTTTGTCATATCAAGCGCTACGACGGATTGGAAAAAAATAATAGCAGAAGGCATGGTACCGGGAAGGAGGGGCAAGAGCCAACCAACACGAAGATGAGCACAGGATATAAGTGACTCCTTGAGTATGAAAGTACATGAAGCGGGAGAACTGGCGAGAGACCGAGTTTCTTTCAGGCAGACCGTAATGAGAGCGACGTTCTGCAAAAGACCTGCTACATGATGATGATGATGATATGAGGACACGATTTTTGAAACGCACTATATCCACGCGTCCATAAATCCTCATACTCAGTACCCCATCTCCTTCATCGCACTAAAAGGAAGTACATTACAGGTATTTTTCGTTAAGAAGGAATTTTATAGTTTGCTTCAATTATTAATTCTTGTATTCACTCTTTCGCTAACTTTTACACCTGGCATTTCAATCATTCTTGTTGGACTGTACGTTTGATATCTTAATATAATTTTGATTAAATCATGAAGAAAAATTTTTAATATTTACGAAATGTGGAATTTTAAAGCACTAAAACGTGGATCAGCTTAAAGTTATTAAACATGCATTAAGAAAAGTGTTCAACATTTTAATGAACTAAACTGTCAGCATATTTCAACGTAACTGAAAACAAAACAGAATAAAACAAAAACACGAATTTAAAATTTAAATTATCGCAGCACAGGTAAACATGGATATGGTTGTCATGACCAACTTACCATTGCCAGTTAATATGGCGGTCGTTGCCATGACAACATGTTGCCAGTTAACATTTGACTAAAAACTGTCCTAGCAACCAAAATTTGACCTGCCTGCTTCTTCTTCCTCTTCTCTCCCTCCTCATCCTTCCTTTTCTTCGCCTTCATCGGTTGAACAGGCCGATGAATGTTATGCCTTTTCGCTTAAAATATTTGATTTGTCTCTCATTTATTTTAGTGGCTCTCTTTTTATTCTTATTCTGGCGATAATATCTGTATTAAGCTGTTTTTATCTTCAGAAGTCACCGTGTGTTAAATTCTTCAGGTTGCGACCCCGAAAAGGGGATAATTTATATGTAAAGAAGTCAATTGTGATACCATAACAAAACATATCATAATATAACATAACATAGCATAACAGCGTGTTCGTGTTTCCCCTCCTCAAAAAATTATTATGAGCACATATAGCATAACTGGCTGGCTGCTTGACGAAAAACAAAAACCGTCATGTTCAACAAGCATTCTAGAGAGGAAAGCTTTAGGTTATAATTGTGGCTAGGTTATATGCGCCATATAAAAATGACTCAAACATTTCTCGCCACCAAAAGCCACGACAAGGACTCCAACAGTGTTGATACGATTACAGGAGACACCCAAATATTATCATAACAAGGTTTCTACCAGTGATATCCAGTCATCCCCTTGTGAGATGCAATTTTTCGTTGTTTTTTTTTAAACCCCACCCTGGCTCTTGCCAGGGGCCGCATTATAGCCCGGCCATAAATATGGTCTAATGGCTGAACGCGGTTTCCGGGACCTCTCCACGGGTGATCCTCATCCGCATGGTGGCACTTTGTGTCATCGGGTGTTTATCGCTTGTGTGATGTCCTCCTGGTGTGGTAAAAATCTACTGCTACTACTACTACTACTATACCCGGTGATCCAATTGGGGAGGCGGCCCCTGATAAATGGCATAAGTTAGTGAAGCCTTTAAAAGGTTTCATCTGTATTGCCAGTCGCGTTTAGAGATTCTAGAAAAGATATAAAACCGAACGAAAAGTATATTAGCAAGCTTTACAATATAACAAATACAAACAAAACGTGAACGTTGCAGCTATGGAGCCTTCATCAGCACATACAAATCAAACAATACTACACAGATACACAAAATCACTTAGCTGGTATCTCGAAGCAGCCGGGTCGATGGTTTCTCCGCAGAATGCCTACATGGATGGATGGATGGATGGATGTTTGGAAACAAAAATAATAAAACTCTTTGACTCCTTCAATCTGCTCCTTAGTTGAGCGTCGACTATATAGAGTCCGTGTTTAATTGCTGACTCTTGGTCGTTCTGTTTTTGTGACGTTTGGTTACGCCTTGAATTCCGATTTGCCATTGTGGGCGCCTGACTGACTGACTCTCTACCCCACTAGGACATCACACAAGCGATAAACACCCGATGACACAAAGTGCCACCATGTGGATGAGGATCGCCGTGGAGAGGTCCCAGAAACCGCTTTCAGACAATTGGCCATATTTATGGCCTGCCTATATTGCGGCCCCTGGCAAAAGCCAGGGTGGGGCTTCAAATAACAAAAAATTTCGTCCTAAAAAGGACGAAACTGGGTATATAATCTATTATATGAATGAATGTGGGCGTGTCTGCTGGGGGAATAAATGCTCCCTGTGGAGTACCAGGGGCCATAACTGGGGGGTTAGAGATAAAACTGTGAGGGCAGTACAATCCCCTGGGAGTTTAAATGAAAATGTGTTGGCAATTCAGTCCGGAGGGTGTTAAAGTCCCAAGATTATAAATAAAGCGATTCCTAAGAGACTTGCGGACTTTCAGAGATTCTAGAATGTTCACTTTTATTCTTTGTAAGGCTAGGTGATGTTGATAACATCAAACATTGAGTTCCAGTTTGTCTTTAACAATATGAGCCCAACATCATTTGCCAGATACGCTACTGCCTTAAAAAAGGTTTCCTATTTTTTTTACTCCAATCAACAAATGATAGATTTTGGTGATCCACACCACGCATCTAAATGATAGCGCGTCTCTCGTCAACACAGGCTCCAATTGATTCGTTATTATTTAGTTTTCAATTTTAAAATGGTCAACGGCTGATGGGAATTTACAACGGATAAACAGGCAGTATCAAAGTTTGGCGCCAGATAAACATTTTAAATATTTCATTTTGAAGAATTATTTCGGAAAATATAACCACATCAAAATGTTCTCGTTTGTAATTTTATTTTGGTTTCGTTTTAGATTTAAAATTTGTTTCGACTTTTTCAGATATGTTAATATTAAATATTTTGATGAAACTACGTGTTGATGAAATTATGTATGTTGAAAGAAGAAAAAAAATATATATTAACGTCAGGGAAATTTGACTGGTAAACAGCGTCATGTCTCTGAAAATGAAATTATCTTGATCTGCCATGCCAATGAGCGTAAACCGTAAACGGTCATAGTTCGCCATTTCGTAAGGAGCTGTTGGCCGACACCCCAAAAAAATTGCGGCAACCCAAGGGGTGGGTAGGGGGTCTTAAATATTGTATAGCCAAAAATGGGAGCTCAGTGGGTCCTAGTTTACGAGCAGATAATAATAATATTGGGTCCGCGTGTGGTTTGCGGGGCCTTCTATAGGGCGCGGGGTGGGAGGGGGGGGGGATAATAGGTCCACTGTCTCCAAACAAGTATGTCGTAACAGCCGACTAATTAGGTGAGTTTCCTTCACAGTCTGGGTGCATCTGCCTGAGAAGCTACGAACCAACAGTCTGCATACTAATAAGGCCGTTCTGTAACCCTGATGCGCACGCAGAAATAAAGTTATGGAACAAAACTTAAGTTCAGAAATGGTCGAACAACCGGAACCTTTCGCTTGAGTTTGCAGATGATGAACGCAAGAAAAGAGAAAGAAAATAATACGGCGCTGAGTGGCAAATAAATATAATAATGTCCTTGAAATAAGATGAGTTGGATAAACAAACACTTTTAAAGAGAATATCCGTGCATGGTTGAAGGGGCGCCGCTTAACGCCCTCACACAAATACTGCTAGGAAGGGCTAAGGCCCCTAAACATTTGGGAGCTTTCTGGCCCCTTGGCTGTGGCGCCTTTGATGTAGTGTGTTCCTGCCTCGCCTATAATTTGCGGTCAAGCCATTCAGGCGCAGTGCAGACCTGATAAGGCGAACTCAACGCAGACCCAAGAAATGGTTCTTTGTATTAGAAATTCGTCTTATCCAGATAAAATTCGAGCAAGAAAAATTGCAGAGAGTAAACAAATTGTTCTTCACAACAGAAGTTCATCACATCCGAGATCGCCTTAATAAGCAGTCTGCACTATGTTTATCTCCATGTCTTTCCGTATTACTTTTTTTTTTTTTTTTTTAATTGGCTTTTTCGGTTGTCACTAACGTTACCTTTGTCTTTTTTTTTTTCCGGACAGAAATACCAAAAGGCCGAGTCAGAAAAACTTCAATTGTTGAAAAATTATCAAAGTCCAAAGAATCAGAACTCATTGCATTGTCCATTATGGTAAGTGTTGTTGTTTTTGTTTTTTTTTTTTTTTTTTTTTTCAGTTTTTTTTTTTTTTTTAAATCATAAATATATTATTATTTTATTGCTGGCTTATTTAGACTTTGTCGCACTGCGATTATTTTATAAATACATTTTCTTTTTAAAACTGTTAAACATCTAGAACTCTAATACAATGTTGGAAATCTAGAACTTTAAGAACAAATGTTAGAAATCTAGAGCTTTAGTATAATGAGAGAAATATCAGATAAGGTTAGAAATCCAGAACTTTAGAATAGTGGCAGAAATCTAGAACTTTAAATAATGGCAGAAATCTAGAACTTTAGGATAGTGTTAGAAATCTAAATCTTTAGGATAATATTAGAAATTTAGAGTTTTAGGATAGTGGTTGAAATAAAGAACTTTATAATATTGTTAGAAATCTAGAACTTTAGGATAATATTAGAAATCTGGAACATCTTCCTTATCACCATGTGCTTTACTAGTAAGAGTAAGGTGTCATCTGACACAATCACCAGCATCAAGTATCAGTTCAATGTTTGTGTCTCACCCCTATTCATCTGACCAAACCATCCAAGTATTTATTTCGTTGCTGTCCCTTTTCTCTATTTCCAATAATCTTACTAGTTTATACCAAGTTCTCCAGTCTTAAAACATGTCCACAAATACTGACAGTCTGTCTGCTTGTTGTAATAAGTTTGCGACTGTCATCTGTCTCGATGGGTACTACTTTGTTTGTTTCTCTATCCCTCCATGATTTTTTGTTTCTTTATACAATCTTTAGAAATCTAGATCTTTACTATAGTGACGGAAATCTAGAACTTTAGGATAATGTAAGAAACACATTAATGCCAGAAACCTGGAATTTTAAGATAAGATGAAAAATGTTGAAGTTTAGAGTAATGTGAGAAATCTATAAATTCGGAATAATATGAGAAATTTTGAACTTTAGGATACCATGGAACTTTACAAGTATGTTAGAAACAGAACTTTATGATAATGTAGAAACACTGAATTTTTGTATCAATGTTATAAATCTATAAATTGAAGTTAATGTCACATAATATAGAACTTCACGGTAATGACAGAAATGACAGCAAACAACAGATTGAGTCGTCCCCATGTCAGTTGCAATTTTTCATTATTTGAAGCCCCACCTCAGCTTTTGCCGGGGGCCTTGAATATAACCAGGCCACAAATATAACCTAACAGCTGAAAGGGGTTTCTGGGACCTCTCCACGGGTGATCCTCATCCGCATGGTGACACTTTGTGTCACCGGGTGTTTATCGCTTGTGTGATGTCCTGGTGGGGTAAAAATTAAGTCAGCCAGTCAGACTGCAAACAATTATAGCTTTATGAAAATGCAGAAAGTTAGAACTTTGTACCTTTTTTTTTTCTTTTTGTCTCTGCCCCTGGAATACCTCACAGCACCAGGCCGAGAAGAGATCTCTGGAATGGGCCCTTCTGTTCGTTTCCTGTATAGTACTTTTCAATGTCTCCAATCTGGTAATCCTAGTTTCAGCTTCATAGCAAACAGGTCACCCCATAGTTGCTCCGCTCCTGTGCCAACGAAAAACACACGTAGCTCACAGTGTCACGCCATGCACTCAACTCAGAAGCTGGGCGACGAAAAAATGTCTTCAAAATTTCCATTGTCTATTTTCTGCGTGCGTGGTCGACCTCTGGCTCTGTTACCCCTGTGTCTGTATTGTATTGCTCTGTGTGATTACCGGGCTGTTGCCAATCTTGTTACATGGCCCAATCATTTGAACTGCAACCGGGAGTGACCAGGCGATCTGGTCGACACTCCACGTTCAGAGGGAAGACAAGACAGACACACAATCAAACTGCTGCTAGCACCATTGTAGTTGGAACTCTTAGCTGGCTGCTGAACATAAGGGCGGAGCACATATGAGAAAGTCCCGAGTGCTGTGTCGTTGGTTCTTGAAACTCAGCTGAACTGTTTGATCTGTTGTCTACCTTCAAAGTTAAGTATTTGTTTCAGAGCCAACTCTCCTGCTGTTATCACCGTTCCCAAAACTATATGATAAAGTCAAACATCTGGATATTTAAAATGTGCTCTCTAAATGAGCTTAATGTTAAATTATTCTAATAATAACAACACACATACAAAACAGCAGCAACAACAACAACAACAAGGAACATAATAACAATCTATGTCTTTATTCTAACTTTTAAAATTGCGTATTATTTTTTTTTTCAACTATTCTTGCGTTGTAATTTATTGTTGTGTGTTTACACTGGCACTGTCAACATAAATAACAGAACGGTATTCCATAGAGACGCAAACTCGCAGGTTTCAATAACCTGTCAAAAAACCTGTAACTATTTTTAATCTAAAACATTAATGTATTTGCAGTGGCCATTTTTGCCTTCCATAATATTACGC